ACGTCTCAAAACAGGAAAAGGAAAAATTTAAACATAATTGGTTCGATAGAGAAGGCCTTTAGGCAAGGGATAAGACAATGAAATGTTTGATTAAATATCGTACAACAGTGGGACAAAAAGAAAAGGAAGCTTACTATAAGGAACGGAAAGAATACCAATACATATGTAAAGTGATGCATATGGAGTACTACAGAAATTTAGAAAGAAGATTGGATACTATAACAGACAATAAAGCACGGTGGAAGATAGCAAATGAAATTAGGCATAAGGAAACAACGATTGGCTGTCACATTACAGCAGATTCTTTAAGAGCTTATTTTGCGTCGCTGCTTAATCCGGATATCCAAGCTTCCTTTATACAGTATGAATATCTGTAGATGAAGATGAAGACCTGGATAGAGAATTTACGTTGTCGGAACTCAGGAAACAACTTGGCAAATTAAAAGAAAATAAAGCTCTTGGCGATGATGGGATAAGGATTATGATATGTTTAGAACAAATATCATATATCCAATTCATAAGAAAGGAGACATTAACAGCCCGAGCAATGAACGAAACGATATCTGCTTTATAAGATAGAAAATGGAAAACCTACCAACCAAAGCTGACATAAACGACCACTCTACCAATCAAAAAGTCAAATTATGGAGCCGCATTCATTCATTCAAATATAATTTAAAGATGAATATAGATGTTGAAGTCGAGTTTGCCAGAAAAAATTTAAAATGACGGTTTTGTTGGAGCTTAAATCTACCAGAATGGTTAACAAAATTTTCAAAAATACTAAACTTTTAGCTGGAATTATTTAGCAATTGAAAAAGAGTATTATAGAGATCAGCAGGGAGAAAAGGGTTGGAGTTCGTGGCGACAAGCTTATAATTGATGGCATGTCTTTCTATTGGTATTCTCAGGCAAATTTTTGTGTGTGATAAAGGTGATGAAAAAGATGCCCTGAAATAAATTTACAGAGATGTAATTCTAGATATTCAATTAGGTTACAACGACCTTCTCAGAGAATATAATTCAATAAACTTATTAAACTTTCTAATGCAGTGTATGGGGATAAAAATAGTAACGTTAGTAGAAAATTAGAAACAAATGAAAATAAAAACCGTCCTTTTAATATATTATCCTATAATGTAAATGTCCTAGGGGGAAAATATCTTCCCCGTGATTTTTTTGACTATCTAGAAAATTTTCATATATTTATACTTTTTGAAGCACACGTAGAAGAAAAAACCCAACAAAAATATAAAAATAGGTTTAACAATTTTCACATACATTGGAAATCGGCAACAAGAATCAACAATATAGGCAGATCTATAGGAGGTCAAATCTGTTGAGTAAGGAAAGATATAGAATTGATGGGACTTAAACATAAGATAACAGTACGGCAAGATTTAAATGTAATACAATGCAAAACCAATTAGACAAAGATTGAAATAATTCCTGTATGTCTGAGAACAGCTAATTGGTCAAACGATTTCCATCAATTGAGGGAAGTCATAGAAAGCAGCAGTTTTCCCAAAATTGTTATAGGTGACCATATTGCCAGAATCGAAGAGGAACACGAATTTTCTGAGGAGTTAGCGGATGAATATCTATTCTGTCGAAGGAGACATTCAAATGATAAAACCTTTGTGTGGATTTATTGATCTGATTGTTAATTCATACCCTAACGTCTCAAAACAGGAAAAGGAAAAATTTAAACATAATTGGTTCGATAGAGAATGCCTTTAGGCAAGGGATAAGGCAATGAAATGTTTGATTAAATATCGTACAACAGTGGGACAAAAAGAAAAGGAAGCTTACTATAAGGAACGGAAAGAATACCAATACATATGTAAAGTGATGCATATGGAGTACTACAGAAATTTAGAAAGAAGATTGGATACTATAACAGACAATAAAGCACGGTGGAAGATAGCAAATGAAATTAGGCATAAGGAAACAACGATTGGCTGTCACATTACAGCAGATTCTTTAAGAGCTTATTTTGCGTCGCTGCTTAATCCGGATATCCAAGCTTCCTTTATACAGTATGAATATCTGTAGATGAAGATGAAGACCTGGATAGAGAATTTACGTTGTCGGAACTCAGGAAAAAACTTGGCAAATTAAAAGAAAATAAAGCTCTTGGCGATGGTGGGATAAGCTACGAATTTTTTATCAATGCTCCGGATGACTTTTTAGTTGCACTCTGTAGGCGTTTCACACAAATTTTCAAGGGACAAGAGGATTATGATATGTTTAGAACAAATATCATATATCCAATTCATAAGAAAGGATACATTAACAGCCCGAGCAATTACAGAGGAATAAGCTTCATGAATTACATAGCCAAATTAATGATGGGTATGGTGAATAAAAGAATAATAGAATGGATTAATCGACTTCAAGTTTTAAACGAGTTTCAGGCAGGATGTAGAACTTGTTATTCCACAGTTGATTATGTCTTTAACCTGGTGTCAATCATAAACCTCAAGTTCGATTAGGGCATTCTTCGTAGACTTTAAGGCGGCATTTGATACTATACCAAGAAAACCTCTTACATAAACTTCACAGCTTGGGCTTGTCAACGAAAACAGTTAACTTCATAGAGAATGTATACATGTACACAATATCAGACGTTTGGACTGGCAAGGAATTGTCGGAACATTTTGAAACCAAATATGGAGTTAAACAAGGCTGTTTGTAGTCGCCAGTACTATTTTCAATATATCTAAACGATCTGCATGAATTTCTCGAAGGAGGTTTATTCATAGATGAAATGAACATACGCTTATTGATGTATGCAGACGATATTGTGTTACTGGCTGACGAAGTTGGCACAATGCAAAAAATGATAAACCATCTGCCAAAATACAGTTATATATGGGGAATGATGGTCAACCAAACAAAGTCGGAAATCATGGTGTTCAGAAATAGCGGCCGATTGGCAGAAAGTGAAAAATGGACTTACAATGGAGAATGGCTCAGGACAGTAAATGAGTATCAATACCTTGGTATGACACTAACACCTAGACTCTCTTTCACGAAACATATAGAACGTAAAACCAATGCATCAAAAACATGTGGAAATATATCATAGAAAGATTTCATTGGGAAAACAAATATTTCCTTACATGCAAAATGGAAGATGTTTCTTGCAGTCTGTAGATCGATACAAAGTTATGGAGCTCAAATATGGGGGAACGGTTATTTTGATGAAGTGGAAAAGTTGTACCGATTCTTTATAAAAAGGATGCTAAAATTGCCAGAACATATTCCAAATTAAGTATTAGCCTTAGAAACTGATTACGATGAAGGTTATGTTTACACATACAGTTCCCATTTAGAGTATGTATCAAAGTGTTTGTTTGATATGCAAGAACAGCGATTGCCACACGAGCTCTCTTTAAAGATTAAAGACAAAAATATATGTTGGTACAAGGATTTTCAGTCAAAGCTTTTAACAAATAATGTGCAAGTGGAAAATGTGATGGAAAACAAGTGAACGTGGTATAATGCTTGCAGTAAATTACTAGATACCATCAAACACACGGGTGTGAACAACAACATACTTAAGGCGCAAAATAGTGTGCAAAGAATATATAGCAGCCTCAATCATAATATTGGACCTGTCTATTTTTGCAAATCCTACAATCAAAATCAAATATCATTGATCATGCGCGCAAGAGGAGACCTCTTATGTTTAAATGGTACAATGTTTAGAACAATAAACCAAAGAATCTGTTCCTTATGCAACCTGAGTAAGATGAGGATATATAACATTTCCCGGACGGTGTCCAGTACTTAAAAACTTGAGCACAAAATATTTCAGTAAAAGTTAATTAAATCGTATAGAAATAATTTCTCAATTAAATGGTGGTAAAGATATTTCCTGGTTTTGTATATATAATTTTTTAAAAGTAGCATTAAATTAAATTAGAAGCATTAATTCAGACGGTTCATAATAACCATGCTGTAATCATTTTTAACTTTTATTCAAATATGATTATAATAATTCAAGTAATATTTTGTAACGGTTATGAAAAAATGAAGATAAAATACAATACAAAAACACAATACATTACAATTTTCCTCCTACTTAATTTTAGATTTTGTTTTCCTAAACATACTGTCAACATTATTACATGATTCTAACGCTAATTGATAATGGCCCTTATTAAAGATGTTTGATTTACAAAGTCTTTCTGAGAATCCCGGGATGTAAGTAAAAGCTTTATAAATATTTTCTTTTCCTCCTTTTTATGGTCCGTTCTTGCGTATATAATCAGGTCGTCAATTGTGCTTTTTGGAAAATCATTTTGGCTTAATATGTGGCGTTTTTTTCTTTCTTGAAATTGTTCGTTACTTATATTGAAAATTCTATTGAAAAAATTTGTCGCTGTGTCGGGGGTGTTTAGAATAAAAGTTGATCAATTGTTTAAGCTTTCTTCCTTGTCTGATTATTATTGCGTCCAAATAGGGTAGTTTATCATTTTTCTCAATTTGTAATGTATCTAAATTGTATGCTGGGTTGAATGCGTTTACAATATTTAATGTGGTGTTGATCTCGGATTCGTGCATCTCGGATTTGTCATCAGTTTTTCTTAAGAAGCGTCCAATATTTCCTCCATTACGATGTCAGCAGTGATCGCTGGTGATCCCATAGGAAGTCGTCTTCATTGTTCATACACCTTGTCCGAGCATAATATCTTTATACAAAAGGTCAGCATTATTTTAAAAAGTTCTTTAGGTACTTTCGTTTTTGTTTTGTAAAATTTTCCACCTTTCATCTATTGTTCTTAAAGCTAGATTACTCGGTACGCTGAGGAACAACGAAACTACGTCAAATGATATCAATACTTCGCCTTCTTCAATCTACAAATTTATTATCTTTATTTTAAAATCAATTGCGTCCTAAATGTTATATGGTGAATCCCCAGTCTAGTGTTTTAAAATGTATACAATATACTTGGAAAGTCCGTGGGCTGGTGAATTTATTGAAGAACATATTAATCGCACAGGTGTACTTTTTTGTTTATTTTTAGAAGTCCGTAGATTCTTGGCGCATTGTATTGTTTGTCAATTTATTTTTCTCTATCATATCATCTGCTCCCATTTTATATAATTTATCTATTAATTTGTTGTTTTTATTCTGTAACTTCGTAGTTGGGTCTCGCTTTAACCTTTTATTGGTATACATATCCTTTAAAATAGTTTTCATTTTCATATCATAGTCCATCTTGTGCATTGCAACCGTCTTTCCTCCTTTATCGGCATTTAAAATCAATTCGTCTTTATTTTGTTTAAAAAATTGTTTCGTTCTACCCACTGTGTCCATTATTGGTTTATCTCTTATACTCTCGTCTATTGTAAGTGGTCGTCAATTAGAGAGACTATTGCATTTCTCGCGCTTTCTTTGTCCTCTTTGTCGTCTAACGTTTGAATGCATTCTTCACTTTCTACAATAACATTCAGTAAAGGCAAGGCATATTTGTTGTTGCAAAGCATATTTGGGACCCATCGACAAAAGCCATTGAACGTCGTTTGGTAAGCTTACGTTGCTGTCGTTGGTGAACCATTGGTTGTTATGTTGAATATTCAGTATTGATTGTTGTTCTTGTTTTAATGCTTGGTATTTGTTGATGTGTCTTTTTTTTGTTGTCGTAGCTGCGACGGAGAACATTTTCGGTCTCAATGTATTTATTGTAATCTTCTTCGTCCATTACCTGCTGCTGGTCCGCTTTAGTTTTTTTGAGTATACTTTTGTTGTTTTATATTATTTGTAATTATTATACTCTTGTTGCAATTATATTTTTCAAGTGTTGGTAATAAATTTGGAGCCATTTTTTCATTTGTTTGGAATATGCTGTTTGTGTTTTTAGTAGTGTTAGTGATTAGCTTTGAAACTACTCCTGGTTATCTGCATTTTATTAAAAAGGTTGTTGATATTGTCAAAGTTGCTGTTTTCCTGTGATGTCTGGAAAAATGTTTGGTGTTATTGATAGTGTTTGTGCCATACTTTTGCTTAATTTCTTTGTATAAATTCATTTTAAATGTATTTTCCTTTGTTGTGATGCGATGTGCCTTCCGTGTTAAATGTTGTTGTTGTATATTGTCGACCTGTTATATTTATTTTACCTATTTGGTTAACTATGTGTTTTATTTTTGAATTTTTCCCTTTTTTTAATCCAATATTTCCTTCGGGAATCATCTTCATGGATCTGTTTTACAAAAAAAAAAAAAACTGATTTAACAAATTATAACACAATAAATAACATACATTTTAAAATAAAAGCTCGTCAATTCAGTTTAAATGTCACTATCAAACTAAGTTTTCTTTCGTTTATTTCGTGTTTATGAACTAGGCTTCTGTAAATGTGAGCACAATGGTCTTTATCGGTTTTAAAATGAATTCGTTTGTCATTTGGTAAACTTGTAATATGTAATCGTCTGTTGTAATTATTTTCTTGTGCTTTTATGATATCTTGAAGGTTGGGTTTATGTCCTGTCAATGTGCAATGGGCAGTTAGAGAAGTCTTCTATTCGAGAGGCCTGTCACTTTTTGGATTCAACTTTTGTTCGGAGAGTCTAGTTTTTAACTACGTCTTTGTCGTACCGACATATGCCTTTTGGCATACGTCAGCGTCGTCTCCATTTCATGTTATCCTATAAACTACATTGCAGGAAAATTTGTGTTATTTTATCGGGAGCAGACGTACCTTTGTATAAGGCAAAATATTTCATTAAAAGCTTCGGTAATACATTTATATACATTGTTTATCACTACTTGGCATCAAGATTTTTGCATCGCGTATACGGAAATGTTGAAATAATACTGTACTGCTCCGGTATTATTTGTTAAAATAAAAAATATTATAAATATATTTAACAAAACTACTCAAAAGCAAAAGAAGTATAAACAAGCGAACGTGAAACACCAGCTGCTATTTCTTTCTGTCAAAATAATGGTAAATATACATATTGCCACACTAACTTAATTTCATAAAAAGTCATCAATTAGTACGGGTGAGAAATAAAAGAAGAAGAAGCAATCTTGCCCCTAAGGGTATACTTTCGATTGATCGAAATTCGAGTTGCCAACCAAATAAAAGAAGACTATCAGATAAGTTCATCCTAAAAGTATGCCACACAATCTGTCTCATGCAAAAAATACACCAACTGGCACAGTAGGTGCTGAGGAACAAAAGACAAAACGCGAGATAATGGAGACGTCACCGGACTCGGAAACAATTGTGGGAAATATGACCACAACGGATCTAATGATGATCATGAACGAAACGATGTCTGCTTTATAATATAGAAAAATGGAAAACCTACCAACCAAAGCTGACATAAACGACCACTCTACCAATCAAAAAGTCAATTTATGGAGCAGCAAATCATTCCTTCAAATATAATTTGAAGATGAATATAGATGTTGAAGTCGAGTTTGCCAGAAAAATAAAGTAGGAAAATGATAAAATTACAGTTTTGTTGGAGCTTAAATCTACCAGAATGGTTAACGAAATTTTCAAAAATACTAAACATTTAGCTGGAGCCTCAATATTTGTCGAAAGAGACTTGTGTGGAACTCAACTTGAGAAAAACGGTTATGTTGCAATTGAAAAAGAGTATTATAAAGATCAGCAGGGAGAAAAGGTTTGGAGTTCGTGGCGACAAGCTTATAATTGATGGCAAGTCTTTCTATTGGCATTCTCAAACAAATTTTTGTGTGTAATAAAGGTGATGAAAAGGATGCCCTGAAATAAATTTACAGAGATGTAATTCTAGATATTCAATTAGGATACAACGACCTTCTCAGAGAATATAATTCAATAAACTTATTAAACTTTCTAATGCAGTGTATGGGGATAAAAATAGTAACGTTAGTAGAAAATTAGAAACAAATGGCAATAAAAACCGTCCTTTTAATATATTATCCTATAATGTAAATGGCTTAGGGGGAAAATATCTTCCCCATGATTTTTTTGATTATCTAGAAAATATTCGTATATTTATACGCGATAAATCCGCATTATACAGGTAGATAGATTTAGATGCATTTTGACAGAGGGAATTTAGAATCTCGATTGTTTACGGGATATTAAGGGATCGGATTCGCACACCAGATTCAATACGAAAAGGTTTCAGTCGCATTTCACTAATGCATCGTTAAATGTTCACTCAAAATTGCCTTCGGAATCATTCTGCTCTATATGCCCTACAGAAAATCATTCATGAATTTAACAACAAACAGACGTAGAATGCATGTGTATAGAAACAAATAAAAACTATCATACCATATTTGTAGAACCAATTGTAATTTCAACTTGGAACATACCAAAAAGTATATTAAGATAAGATTCATTAAGCAGAACAATAATTATTGAAGAAAATAATTTGTTTAGATCCAACAATTGTACTATTTAGTTGAATGAACTAAAATTTTTTTAACACATTTAGATCACATGCAAATGTTTTTATCAGTAATAATATTGCAAAATTGGAACCTCTAGAATGTGTACAAGAAAAAGAAATTATAAAACGGCATTCTGATATTATATTTCAATATTATATATTTCAATATTATATATCAAATATATTGTATTTCAATATTATAATATATTGTTACGTATTATTTTAAAAATATGCCTAAAAACTTTATTGTTAAATCCAAGAAACAGATTAATGACAATAAACACGAAATAATGTTAAAACAGCTACCAATAATATAGAAGGTAAAATTTCATCAAATCTTATATAGGATAGGATAATTTAGGATATAATATAAGTAGCTGTATTATGTTCGTGTTCATTGTCATTAATCTGTTTCTTGGATTTAATAGTAAAGTGTTTTATGTCGATGTTGTATATTGTTGACCTGTTATATTTATTTTACTTATTTGGTTTATTGCTTGGCTTAAGGTCATTAAAAGACTATGTGTTTTGTTAACCAATATTTCGATTTCCTCCGAAAATCATCTTCAGGAATCCGTTTAATAAAAAAATAAATAAATAAATAACACAAATTACAAACTGATTTTAACAATATATAACACAATAAATAACGTACATTTTGAAGTAAAAGCTCGTCTATTCAGTTTAAATGTCACTATCAAACTAAGTTTTCTTTCGTCGGTGTTTATGAACTAGGCTTCTGTAAATGTGAGCACAATGGTCTGTATCGGTTTTATAATTAATTCGTTTGTAATTTGATAAACTTATAATATGTAACATTTCTAGTGTAAATCGTTTTTTGTAATTATTTTCTTGTGGTAATATATCGACGTGTTTAAGTTTGGATTTATGTCCTGTCAATGTGCAATGGGCAGCTAGAGCAGTCTTCTTTTTGAGAGTCTTGTCACTTTTGTGATCCGTCTTATGTCCGGAGAGCCTAGTTTTTCATTTCGTCCTTGTCGTACCGACATATGCCATTTCGAATACGTCATCGTCGTCCCCATTACATGTTATCCTATAAACTACATTGCACTGGTCCTCCTTCTTAATTTAAGATTTTGTTTTACTAAACATACTGTCGACATTATTATTATATTATGATTTTACCGCTAATTGATAGTGTTCCTTATTAAAGATTTTTTTGATTTACAAAGTCTTTCTGAGAATCTCGGGATGTAAGTAACAACTTTATACATCTTTTCTTCTCCTCTTTTTTACGGTCCGTTCTTGCGTATATAATCAGGTCGTCAATTGTGCTTTTTGAGAAATCATTGTGGCTTAATATGTGGCGTATTTTTCTTTTGTTCTCTGAGTGGAATTGTTCGTCACTTAAATTGAAAAATTCATTGGTAAAATTAGTCGCTGTGTTTATTTTTAGTCGTCGGGGTCTTTAGAATAAAAGTTGATCAATCGTTTTGACGCCGTTGGTTTTTGTTTTTGTAATTTCTCATGACAATAGAGAACAACTAATCGCCGTGCCAAATTGAAAGACTCTTTGAGTTGTGAGCAGGTCCAGGTTCTATGGAATGTCCTTGTTGACTGGAAGTTTAACGATAAAGCACAAATTCTATGTTGTGATACAACCTCCTCCAATTCTGGTCGAACCAATGGCGCTTGTGCCCTTCTAGAACAGAAATTTGATGGTGGGTTATTGCTTTTCCCATGTCGCCATCACATTTATTGTTTAACTTTAAAATTTTAATTTAATGCAAAGGTCATAGAACAATCCACAAGTCCAATTTTCAAGAAGTTCAGAAAAAAATTGGAAAAAAACCAATACAAACCAGTAAAGAAAGTCTTCAAGTCGGGCGGGGCCGATATCCAAATCTGAACCGATCTCGATAAAATTTGGCAAAGATATTTCTGAGCTGTATTTGATATATTTCCCTGAATATCGTTGTTACGGAGTGCATATTACGGTTGTGGGTAACAAATATAACAAATCGGATGAATAATATATATGGAAGCTATAGCTATATCTGAACCGATCTTCACCAAATTTGACATACAAGCTTCTAGACTCAATTCCATCCAATTTGGGCAAATATTAGACGTTTGGTGCACAATAAAAGGTAAATCGGACGAAGTTATATATGGGAGCTATATCCAAATCTGAACCGATCTCGATAAAATTTAGCAAATGTATTTCTGAGCTGTATTTGATATATTTCCCCAAATATTGTTGTTGCATAGTGCAGGTGGACAAAAATAACAAATCCGATGAAAAATATATATGGGAGCTATAGCTATATCTGAACCGATTTCGATCAAATTTGGCATACATATTTTCAGGCCTAATTTGGGTGTATATGCAAAATTGCATACAATTCGGGCTGATAACACGTTTGGTGGAAGATATATATGGGAGCTATATCTAAATTTTGACCGATTATCTCCAATTTCAATAGGGTTCGTCCTTGGGCCAAACAAAAGATCTTTGCAAAATTTCATCTGGATCGGGCAATAAATGCGACCTGTACTTTGTTTACAAAAATACATGGACAGACGGACGGACGGACATGCATAAATCGACTCAGAATGTGATTCTATGCAGATCATCAAAAGGAACTATGGGTCTATCTCGTTTCCTTCTGCCTGTTACAAACAAATGATCACAGACATAATACCCTGACCACCTTGTGGTGTAGGGTATAAAAATATAGGGCTGATAAAAAACTTTATCAATAATAAATACTTCGGATATTCAGGATATCATCGAATTTTACCGACACGGAGACCGTCATAATAAAATCATGATTCGACAACCATGGATGTACTCTCCAAAAATATCATGATTAAGCTCTCAAGTCCAAATTTAAATGAGATGAAAACCCCGATTAATATATCTCAAAATAAGTTTTACACACCAGTCTGACGTAGTTGGCAGACAATGTGGCAATATAGTATATTTTCGACGATGATATGAATCACAAAACCAAGGAACAAAGCGATTGAAAATCTAGGCACGGAAGTCGATTCTCATAATTACAAATCATTTATTTATACAAAAGAAGAATTTCTTAATTGGATTTATTTTAAGTTTTAGTAGCAAAATTTGTTATCGTTCAAAATGCTTAAAAGAAGTTGGAGGGCCCTCAACGATAAAATTTAAACTAATGCCAGACTCTAATGGCGGAGTTACAACAGACTAGATAACAAAGTAGTTCCTATTGCGTTGTGTGCAGGATCACCGTCAGATATATCCCAAATATAGCAAGAAAAATTTAAGCCGAAAATTTACTGAATATTTATATTTTATTAATAACAAATGTCACAAAAATGCTTTAATTTTGATCATACCAATATGGTTGTTACTTGTATTATACTATATGGAGCGTACACAAAAAATTGCATGAAATAAATAAAAGTTGACCATATATCATAACTGATTTAGACGAAATTTTATACATTCATTTCTATATAAATTTAGGACATATCCTCTAACTTGTGTCTTTATTGGCCAAAA